GCGATAGCAAAACCCCTCCTGCCAGGGGCAGGATCTCACCCTGGCAGTTTCACGCGGCTGTGGATGAGCTGACTGTGAATTTCCCGTGGATTCCAGTGCTTTGGGGACTCTCCGGGGCTGTAGTTACTTCTTGGTGTCCAAAGTCCCAAAGTCCCAATTCTCATCTCACCTTTGCTGTCAAGTGTGTAAGCGTAGGATTACGAGAAACCCATTTGAAAACGGGGAGTTTGAAACCTTGTTTTGGGGGAATTTGGAGGAATTTGTGATACCGCAGCTCGTGGATAGTGAAACCTCTTTGTTTTGGGAACACCTCCCCTGCCTTGTTCCTCTGCAGATATTTTCGAAGGCGCTAGTGACCTGTAAGAGTGTAAATTTTGCTGAAAACCAAAGTCCCTTTCACAAATGAGACCCTCGTGTTGGCGCTGGGCAGATTCCTGACTTCAGAATAAATGTCCGTATCCCCGTGAGCTGGCACCCAGCGAGCGCGGACACTGGCTCCCCGCGGGCTTTAAAACCTCCTGGGGGTTTGCAGAACAGTTACCATGGGACCTGGGAGTTCCCATGATCATCAAATCATGGACTGTTGTGAGTTGGAAGGGACCCACCAGGATGATGGAGTCCAGCTCCTGTCCCTGCACAGGACAAGCCCAACATTCACACCATGTCCCTGAGGGCCTTGGCCAAATGCTGCTGGAATCTTGTCAGGCTTGGTGCCATGAGCACCTCCCTGGGGAGCCTGTTCCAGTGCTCCACCACCCTCTGGGTGCCTGAAGAACCTTTTCCTCATGGCCACCCTCACCCTCCCCTGCCACATCTTCCTGCCATTCCCTCTGCTCCTGGCATTCGTTGGTGGCCAGAGAGAAGAGATCAGTGCCTGCCCCTCCTCTGGGAGAGGGTGTAGACCCCCGTTCCCAAGCAGGGGGATGATGGAGGTGGTGGGTGTAGGGGGGGTTCTCCTTCACCGTGGGAAACCCCTTGTGTCCCAGCACGGAGGGAGGGATGGATCACCAGCAGTGCTCGCTCCCGGGGTCTCTGCATTTGGAGGGACGATGACTGTTGGATCGTGGTTCTGCTGGCTGTGCAGGTGGCTTCGTTGGGCTGGGGGCTGTTTGGTTTTTAAGCCCCCTGTGTTTAAATAAAGGCAGCGGGTGCTGTACACTGAGCCAGCCCGGTGGCTTTTACATGGAACATCTGCAGAGGCCACCCAGGTCCCTGAGCTTTGTCTGGAGGGGCACGGGAGTGGTGCTGGGTCTCAGGGAGAGCAGAGGGAGCACAGCGTGTGGCAAGGGGCTTGGCTCCTGCCTCTGTGTCACCTGAAGCTGCAAGAAGAGAGCTCAGACCTTCTTGCCATGGCTGATGGCAGGGCAGGAATGGCAGGACAGGAGCTGAGCACATCCATGAAGTTGTTGGTTGCTCTTTTCCTACTAAATTTAACAGCAGCTGAAGGTGTTGGGCACCCTGCACTTCATGCAGCACCCCTGGCTCCAGGGGGATCAAGGTGGCACCTCAGCACTGGTGAGGCTGCAGCTCGAGTGCTGGGTTCAGTGTTGGGCCCCTGACTCCAAGAAGGACATGGAGGTGCTGGAGCGTGTCCAGAGAAGGGCAACAGAGCTGGGGAAGGGTCTGGAGCACAAGTGTCCAACCTGACCTTGAACACTTCCAGGGAGGAGCATCCACAGCTTCTCTGGGTGATCTGTGCGATGACAAAACGCGGCCCCTGGGCAGATTCCAGCTGAATTCCCTTCCTGGCTCAGAATAACCTGCATCAGGAAACAGAGAAGGAATCAGATCTGTGGTCTCCTTCCCTTCCTTCCCCATCCCCATGGTGTTTCCTCCTTGTTATTTTACATCTGCAAGGAGTTAATTAGCGAGGAAGCCGTTCTCTCTCCCCAGCACCGCGTGAGCACTGAGAAAGCATCGCTAGTAGGCTCAGTCCTGTTGTGTCTTGGAAACATTGGAAGCAGTTGTAGAGGCATGTTTTGATCTTCTCTCTTTGCCCCTGTCCTGGGGCATGAAAGTAACGAACCTGTCAGAGCAAAAGCATGGTAAGCAAAGCTGAGCATGAACGGGCTTCCAAGGAAGTGTAGGACACCTCAGCCTGCTCCAGACACCATAGGGCTTCTCTGAAGCAACCAAGAGCAGATGGAGCTGTCCTGTGGCACAGGGTATGTTGACAATGGCAGCACCTTGCCTGGCCAAATGAGGCTGCAGAGTCCCGTGGGAGCTCCCATTCCTCAGGATGAAGCTCCCATCCAAAGAGCTGCCCATGCAGCTGAGATGCAGTGTGGAGGCTGGAGATCCCAGGTGCGTCCATAACGATGTGTTGGAGCTGGGCCAAGGTTGGGGGAGTTGTAATTAACCAAAGAAAATTTTAGGGTGTCCTTTCCTGCTAAGGAGAGATGCCAATAACATCCTCCCATTGCTGCATGGTGGGGCCACGCTCCTTGTCCTGGGACTGACTGTCTTTAATTGGAGTTCCTGCCATGGTGAAGTGCTCCTGCAGGTTCCTCTTCTTCTTCCCTGGAGATTTTCTGGTCTTTGACTGCAGGAAATCTGTGACCTGATGGTTGACAATGGTGGTGCTTAGGCAATGTGAAAGGCCAGCAGCAGCTGGCTGGGTCTGCCGAGGATATCCTCGGGAAAACACCTCCGTTTGTGCAATGCTTACACAAAACACTGCTGCTGTGCCGTGGTCAGAACCGTCTGCTGTGCTGTCTGCCTGGACTCCCCAGAGCATCTCCAGGAAGGTCAGAGAGGGGTGGTGGGAGCACAGTCTGAGACTGTGTGTGTGCCTGTTCCTGGTGTGCTCTGGTTCTCTGGAGAAGGCACGTCTCTGTCCCAGCATCTCTGCGGTCCCTGAGCTCCTCAGTGTCAGACACCATTGGGTTCACCACCCATCTGCACTTTGAGATGGGATCTCTTTAGCTTTCTACTTTCTTAATGATCACTCCATGCTGGCTTATTCTTTTCTGTCTGGGAGTTTAGAGCTCTAAAATATCCATAAAACTGGTTTCTTCAGAGAAGAACTGTTTCTTCTTGGGAAATGTTGCAAACCCTTTCCCAAGGCTCTTCAGTGTGAGTCTGTACTAGGTGCAGATGGCTTCACGGTGACAGTTTTGTCTTTCATGGTGACAACTTTGTCTCTCCCTGCCAGAAAGGTGTGTTTCGGCTCATGAACGAGGACTATTTCATCGAACCAGTGTCCACCAGCTTTCGGGAGGACGGAGCAGCTCAGCCCCACAGGATATACAAGCGCCAGGCGCCCGGGCTTGGGGCAGAGCAAGGCAGGAGGTCACCAGCTCCAAGAGAAACCTGTGGCGTGGAAGGTATGGTCCCCTTTCTCCTGCATTTTGTGATGAGCCCATAGATCACCCCGGGACTGGTATCTTCAGTTCTGTCAGTTGCTCCAGTGCAACCCTCTGTGATTCTTTTTTCTGAAAACATAGAAAATCCCATAATTTCCTAGGGAGGTTTCTGTGGTTACTTATTTCCAACCCAACAATTGCTTCTCTGGTTTACCTGTTTCAGACTTAATCTGAACTCCTACATTCCACTTTACTATTTTGCTCCTTCTGAATCAAACCTTAATCAAACTTGACTCTTTCTTCTCTATGATCAAATCTTGATTATTTTATGGAAATATTTACAACACTGGGATCCCGGGAGCCCTCGGCACCCATCCTCTCTGCAGTACCTTCACGTCCCGCCTGGAAGCTTAGCAGCAAAGGACACAATGGAAACAAGCTCCAAGGAAGCTTGTTGCGATTAAACTGTCACCGTGGTATTAGCAATTCATCAAATTATCCAGATACTTGGGATTTTTCAGGCTGGGGGATAAAACACTCTT